TCCCAGCGGAAATCCTCCGGAAATTATTGGGCTCTTGCAAAGTGCTGCTTTATTCCCATGAAAAACTCAGTTTTCCACTAATTGAAGACTAGTCTAGGCGGAATCGCGAGAAAAATCAGAGACTTAGAACCGTTCCTAAACTTTGGTTATGAGCAGAGATCATGAAACTGCCAGGGCCGGATTAGGATTTGGGAAATGAAGTATTCATTAAAATATTTTGGGCGAAAAATAAGTTCGTTGACGTGCTCTGGTTTTGCCCGTAGCCTTCATTACAAAAATTGAATATGGCACCAGAGATTTCGGCCAATTTTCGTCAATTGTAAAAGTTTAATTACGGATCATCTATTGACGACCACCCCATGGAATACTTATTATTGAGCGAAATTAAGCCTAAAAATTAGCTCTAACTACCGTATCCCGATGGATGTGCTAATGCCCAATAGGTACGGAGCTCAATGTCGAGTGGACCGGACATGAGTGCGCGGTGCGGTGAGTCCGCGAAGTGGGGGATTAACCTAAATATGGCATTGAACGGGTTAGCAGCTAGCTACTTCTGGACTAGTATGACCACGACACCATGGCGAATAGCATTTCCGGGTGGTTAGTACGAACGATCAGATTTCTGGAACATTCTGATATCGAAAAATCGTGTTACTGCGCTACATTAAGTTAAGTTATTATACGACGTATTGGGTCGTACTATGTAATAAAAATACAGATTAGTACGTTACAATAGGCTAAGAGACGCAAGCTACATTCCTTGACGATATCATACTGTTTACGACGCGATACCCTACCCCAACAATACACTGCCATACTCAAACATATGCATACACATGCATATTATGTATGCGCTACAACAGCGTAAGATACGCTACCCTAGGATACTTTAACATACGCCACGACATAGAGGATATCCTAAGTCAAGCTACTCTACGCTACACTACGTACGATCCGATACAATAAGTTATGTCATTAAAAGAATAGTGGTAAGTGCCACCTTGTTAATGCGTCAAGATACGCGTATCGTCGACCACTACGATAAGATGTGGGCGCGACAATACGTTACGTACGCTAACTAACGGAAAAAAGCTGATCGGCACAAAGTGTGTGAGCATGAAAAATTTAAAAAACTAAGCAGCCAAAATCCGTGGCTATTCAACTAAACTATACCTTTGAAATCAATGCTATCCAAAACACAACTCAAACAGCTATCCCACAAGATCCCACGCTCACCCCCCCCGCCCGGCCCCCCAAAAATCTCACCGTAATCTGTGTGGCGTGGACTGGCGCAAGACGCACTACCCCCGGGGTCACTAATTTCGAAAATTAGTTGCTATTTTCGGGGTGGAGCTAGAGGGGGGTCCGGGGCGACAATCCCGGATATAGCGAATCTTCTCCCACACCCCATCCTCCCGAAGCGACGGCGGCTGGACGGGAAATGATTCTGGAGCGGGCGGCAGATTCCGCAAGAATACGGGCTTACGGGGCTGCAGAGGTGATGCAAATTAGGCTAGAAATAGGTGCGGTGAGATTGATGTTGCCGGGCAGACTATCAGAAAACAATTTGGGGTGTCTGAAAATTTCAAAAGATGCAGGTAAACGCCAAACTACCGGTTTGCAGCTATCAATTAAGGCCCATTTTTCGTAGACTGAAACTAATCGGTGAAACTGGGGGAGGTCAGAAACGTCAGTAATGTGCAGATCGAGAAAATCGATGCATAGTAGGGTTGCTGCACAGAGGTGAGATAGAAGAAAAAAACTCCCGAACCCGAAAAATTGGGTATATCAGGCTTGGGTTTTGGCTTAGGCTTAGGTCTCGGTTTGGACCTCAGCTCAGGATTCGGTTTAGGTTGAGGCTTAGGCTTGGACTTAAGCTTGATCTTGGGTTTGGGCGTGGGCTCAGGCTTGGTTAGGCTTTGTTTCGGGCTAGGCTTGGGTTTAGGCTACAGCTTAGGCTTGGGCATAGACTTGGGCATGGGCTTAGGCTTAGGTTTTGGCTTAGGCTCGAGCTCAGACATGTTATTCTAGGGCTTTGGCTTCGGCCTGCATTGGATTTGTGCTTGGGCTTAGGTTTAGGCTTAGGCTTGAGCTTTCGCTTAAGCTTGGGATTAGGTCGGGCTTAGGACCGGGCCTGGTCGTGGGCTTACTTAGGCTTAGACTTAGACATAAGTTAAGGATTGACTTGATTATGAGCTAGTGCTTAAGCCTGGATTTATGCTTAGGTTTGGGCAAAACTTAGGTTTCAATTCAGGCTCAAGCTCAGGCGCTTCCGTTTTGAAAGCCGAATCCGAGCATAAAATGGCGATCCGAGATCCAAGCTTCAGCCCAGACGAAATGCGGTAAATCGCGCCGAATTCGTACAGCCTCCCGCCCGGGGAAATGGGCTTATCAGGGCATAGCCAGGAATTCAGCCCCCGAGGCCAAGTGGTTGGGAGGATACGGTAGGTTGGGGCAAGTCTGGCTGGCTGGCTGTGTAGTGTTTGCCGATATTAGGCTTCCCTAGGAAGAAAGAAGAGAGGCTGTGATGCGGGAAAGGGCTGCTTCCACCCATTGGCCGCTAGATAAGATAATGTACTGCCCTTCTTCAAATATAATTTGGGCGGTCTCTGGTGGGGAGGGGGGACATCGCAACACCAGCCTCAATTATTACGAATTTGGGCTGGTGGAGACTAGACTATGCGCTTATTCTGTATGTCTTACCTTAGCGCAAAACGGAATAACGTAGCGTAGCGTAGTGTAGCGGAAGGGAATAATGCAGCGTATAATAGATTTCTCCGGCAATGCCTAGCGTAAAGCGTAGTGTTTGCTAGCGTAAAGTTGCGTAGCGTAAAAAATCCGCGTAACATAGCGGGAGGTAGATTAATATTGAGTATATGGAGTACCATAAAAATCTAGGCTTAACGCCGCGAAAAGTTTATTACTGGAGCGTATGATAGAAGCAACGTAACCTGCGTAAGGTTGAGTAACGTTTCATGGCTTAACGTAGCGTAACTCAATGTGGTGTATTGTGCCATACCTTCGATAAACGCAACGGGTACTACAGCGCAAGGTATGGCACACATAACGTATCGTTGCGTAGCGCCGTTTAATTTAACGCAGTGTAAAGTAGCGTGACGTAGTATAGCGTGTAGCCTAAACGCGTCGCATCGCGTATTGTAGCGCGAAAAAAGGAGCCGTACGTTGAAAATGTGTTTTAGTAAAGATCACATCAAAACTTTACAAAAACTATTAAAACGGCCGGGAATAATTCTTCAGAAAATGTGGACATAGAATTGTACATAGACAATTTATTGCAAAGCTTTTCGGGACTCAACTTTGTGCATTAGTAGGCGCTGATGTTCTCGACACGGTTGAGAATTAAAAAAAATAGAAAGTGAAGAGATCCAGCATACTTGAATTACGGATTTTTCGGATACATTCAGCTTCCAAAGCTGATCCTAGGTTAATCGCTCAAAAAACACCTTTAAAATAGTTCCTGCTGACTAGACTAAAAAATTTAAACCTTAATGGAAGCTGCACTACCACGAAAGAAATCTAAAGCAAATCCATGTCTCCGCAAGCCAGCAGCCACTTGTAACCCTGGTCGAAGAGACATCGGACCACCAACCCGAGTCCCAAACGCTAAGGTAAATTTTTTGTCGGTATCACGGTCTCTCCACCTTTTTTGCTCCTCGTATGTATCCGCCAGCAAGGTTGGGCCCTCTGCGGGCAGATTACAGCCGAAACAACAGACAGCAAAGAGTGATAGTGGCGCCTCGGGGCGAGTTTTTCCCAGGGCCTAGAGAGGGCCACACTCCCGGTCCATCCTCTGAACGACCATTTATCAAACAGGGCCCTGCACCCACCCGGGTAGTTTCTGCCGGATCTAGCAAGAACGCCGGCGGGAAACTTACTGACTTCCTGTCTGACTAGGCTTTGGGTTAGGGCTGCGATATAACAAGTGGTTTTCAAAGTCTTGCATAAATTTTACGTGGTTCTAGAGGTAAGAAAATCAGCCGACGACAAAAGACCAAAACCCAGCCTTTAACCTGTTGAATAGATCCGAACTTCCGGAGCCCGTTAAGAGCCCAGAAAGTCCAAAACCAGAATCAGATATATCGTAAGGCAAGAGTGGATTTTGCTGGCTATAAATTCCGATAGACGCAACTACCGCCGCAACACCAACGTGCACGCGGCACCGAAACTCTTAAATGGCGTAGCGCATTACGCGAAGAAAAGGACCTCAAGTGGATAATGCGATGGGGGCAGAACCTTTCGCAGCATTCTATGAAGTGCCTTGCCTACACATTTAAGAAACGAAAAATTCGAGGTATGGGGCAACTCCAGCAAAAATCGACAACCCGAGGGAGTCGAACTCGGGCTCGGCCAATTCAAAAACGGGCTCCGTTCGAATTATGTGCTTTATGGTCTGCAGTCACCGTAACAGTAATCTAATAACCTTAATTACAAAATTAAGTTATTATTGGCCCTCAACTTGTAATCCGTAATCTTAGCTTCCTACAAGTCTTTTTAATAGCTTATCATAGAGGTTAATCACGAAAAATCGTGTCGCTGTAACTGTCACATTCTTTTAATTCGTAGCATTTCCTGTCCGTTTGTCATGTTATTCTCTAAATTCCTGCCCTCTAAACTTCCAAATTCGAAGGATCGGCCAGCTTCATTGCGGCATTTTTATCCTGAATTTATTAGGAAAAATATTTATCAAACGACAAGGTACAAATACAGTTTCGTTGTGTATGCTCCCGACTATGTATACAGGAATATCGCCAAAGAAAATACATCACCGGGTCCATGGGACCCACAAAATGCACAAAATCCGACACAGCATTTTTTTGGGTTTTAGCTGTTTTTCAAACGGTGGGAGATTTCTTCATCACAACTCATCGCGTGGGGGGCAACCGGTTTCTGGGTACAGATATACGAAGATATACGAAGTACAGGTATTCGCGGGGTTTAACGAATGGTTCGTGGTTGGAAACAACGTGAAAATTGGGTTATTGTTTTTCTGGGGCTGGGGACTTCTTCTTGCCGACGGTGGCCACCCATCGGAGCATGTTGTAGACCTGGAAATATAGGTATTAAAAGCTGCCAGTTAAGGGTTATCGCCCTCTCTCTCTTTCTCTCTTTCTTTCTCTCTCTCTCTCTCTCTCTCACCTTTCCGTGATGCTTTTCCTTCCCCTCTCGTCGTCCATAGGAAGATTCCGTATCGGCCTCACTCTCCGTACGGCCGTCAGACTCGTGGCCACTGTCTTCCTGATCTTCCTGTAAACAACAAAATAATTTCTTGATTTTTGTAGTAAATACCGTAACCCTTAGCCCTCAGACCCATATTTTAGAAAACTAAGATTGCCTTTCATTAAATTGAAGCGGATTTCAGATTGTTAGCAAGCTAGTTTTTAGTATTTATTAGATTGTAATATGATTCTACCTTCTTGCTGCGGAAGAGCCGCTAGAAAATGGGTACGATAAAGTACTGTTTTGCAAGCTTTGACATACGATATGTATTTTAAGGCAAAAAATGTTAAATACCGAAAACTATCGTACCTCCGACAGTTTCCTCAAGACGGTGAATCCATTCTCGCGTGGGTTAAAGACGATGTGCTGCTCAATGGCCTCGTCTTGCTCGTTGATTTCGGAGATTTTCCGGAGGTTTCCGCTGGGTTGACTGAAAATGGATTTAGATAGAAATAAAATTGCCAAAATAGCAAACGTTTTCACTTAGTTTTCAGATATTTTTAAGGTTGAAATTGCACATAAATTTCAATTTTTGTGAAACTACAGTACCCATTAAACTTCATAAACTAAAAGTTACGATAATTGCTCCCTTTGAGGACATTTAAGAAGGATTCGAATGCTTAAATTTGTTATAATTTCATAGCGCTTTTTGCAAATTAAATACGCCCATTAAAAATTATTTCTTACATTTTACAGTATCCAAAAATCCAACTTTTTTACTTTTATCTACAGTACGCCGCCTAATAAACCAATTAGCAACGATAAACCTACAGTAGCTGATCCATTCCCGCAGATTTAAATAAATTTAGAGTTGTATCGGAATTAAAATATAAGATTTATTAGAATTTTGGGTGCCAGCAGGAAGTAGCCGACAACTCGGGATCAAGGCAAGTGTGAAGGGGAGCCCCGCGGAATAATCCGGATTATCCCCTTCGGAGGGCGCCCTTTATATGTGCGCATTCGGGCGGGGCTACGGTAGCTTTTTCTTTGGCCAATTTTTTGGTGGAGGGCCCGGCGGTCGAGATTAAAATTGACGCAGCCTCCAGTCTCGGCGCAAACAGTTTTCTGGGGCAGATGACCGGGTGGGGCCAGGGGGGGGGGGGATTTTCTGCAAATGTTAGGCCCACTCCTCCGCATTACACTATTGTTTTAGGGCTTCTGACTATGGAGGGAGAGGCTGAAGAAGGCGTCAATGGGAAATGAACGGAACGAAAGGTTGTGACGCAGAATGTGAGAATTGATATAAGGCCATGATTGGCTCATTGTCTTGCGAAAATTACGCAAAAAAATGCGGAAATTAAAATTACGCTCCAAATTCTCTAGTCCAATTTGGATTACACCTACTGACGAAAACGGTGCTTGGTATTGTAATATCAAATCCAGGACGTTTGGGGGCGTAAGTGGCGGTACTGGATTGTTAGCGGGGGGGGGAAGGGATTTTAGCGGGAGAACGTATTTTACTCCAGTCGCGGCCCTATAAGTACCACGCTATAACGAAAAACAGTCCAGTCTTGTCGAACTTTATAATGCTTTCAGATGTAAAAAGCCTATAAAGCAAAATATTTTTGATCCTTAGAAATTTTGAGGTTTGGGGTCGAAATTGTATGAAAAATGACCAAAAAGGCCATTTTTAGGGATTTTTTTAATAGTTGCTACGAAAATACACACTATATATTATTACAAAAGCAAACAAATATAAACTTCCGCCATCAATCCCCCGCTAACAGTCCTGTACCTGAATCTCGAACCGGAAGCAATCGGACCCGAAATAATTGCAAATTCTTAGGCGGCAAAAATAAGAAACCCGAGTACGATTACACCTAATTACGCATGGATTTTCATCACGTAATTTTCAAAATACTATAACTTTAAGGCACTTTACCCTAGGAAATTTAAAATTTAAAAAATCGCGTCAAAAATCCAACTCTTCAGAGTTACGCTAATAAACCTCTATCTTGAACCCTCAAAGATCATCAAAAATCCTACCGTGTCCGGGTGTACATTTGCTCGAGTCGACGCTGTCGTATGATTTCCAAGCGACGCGCCCTCTCCTCCTCCGAACGTCTCGAGCTGCCCTGGCGACCTGGAGAGAAAAAGAGTCATAACGACCTTCTGGAAGATGTCTCAAAAATAGCTTTAACGTCAACACGCCCATATTCGAGCCGCTGTCCAAAAACTGGCTAATATGGCTATTGGGGCAAGGCGCGGCTAATTAATTTTTAGGAGTGGAAGCCCTGGGATGGGCCAAATGGACCCCGTTCTTTGGTTTGGGAGTTTTTTTGGCTTTATTTGTTATTAAAAACAGTCCTTATATAATAGTGAGCACCTGCGAAAGTAATCGAAGACGAATCTACCCGTAACATATAAAATTTGCGAAGGAGTGACATACTACAAATGTAATGACAAAGGAGTTATCTATCAGAGATTATTTGCGAAACTAAAAACCAGATGCGAACATAAAAATGTCTGTTGCGGCTGCACACTGATAGATACTCGGGAGCGATATCTTAAGGGGCCAAGCAGACAAAGCTAGGGATTTCGCTGTCACTCGATCAGCTGAAGATTTTGTCGGCCCGCGACATGCAACGCTCCGGACTGTGATACGCGACCTGCAAGTCAACAGACCCGCAACGCATCGGCCTGTGACATGCGACGTGTGGACCCGGGCGTGTTCATCTTCTTTCCATTGCGCAATGGATCACTACCCTTTCTCAATTGTTTCGTGCCGCCCGCGTGGCGTATCGCGCTTCCGGTCGGAAGCATAGGAGATACTACCCAAAAAGATCAATGCCTATGCCTCCTAAGCGCTTTAAGTAGAGAGCTAGGATACAAACCGCCAGTTACAATCACCAAATGTATGCAGCATGAGTCGTTATGCTTTCTTTGAACCTTGAAACCAACGCTAAACAGCCAGAGTCAAAATCAATTTGCCCATCTCTTTAAGCTAACGCTAATAACGATGGGGAAATGCGCTAATTTACTTGCGCCCCTGGTTGAAAAAGTAGCAGATAATGGGGAAAAGTAGCAGACAAGTGTGACCCCGTGCCAAAAACCATGTCTGACCCGGGCAGACGAGGTCGAAAAATGATCCGTTTCTGTTTCTGCATGCGTCCATGTTGGTGTTAGGCAAAAATTTCCCTCCTCCCCTGGCCGGCGGGTCCACCCACATGTGACCCCCCAAACGTCCAGAAAACCCCGAAAAAAATGCAGGGCGAGAGTGAGAGAGAGATAAAGGGAGAGAGAGAAAAAGAGCGAGAGAATGAGAGAGAGATTAAGGCACCCTGATATAATCCCTGAACGGGCCGGCCGGCTGATTGTTAGCGAATTTTTCTGTCGGCTTTGTAGCAAATATACGCTTCCGAATGGCAGGGATTCCGCCCTAATTTTTTATGTTCTTGCCCCCCCCCCCCCATTCTGCGGAGCAAATCCTCCCCTCCAATATCCAAATCCCGCGTTTTATGGGTGTTGTAAACAGGAGTAGCGGGAATTTTTGAGGGTAAGGGGATTGTAACGGGGAAAACTGCTAGCCTTGATCGTCAGGAGAGCAATGAACGGATTGGATTTTGTAGCGATTTTGCATGGACATGCACCGAAAAACCGTCACGGTTAAAGATGAAGAACTATCAATCCAGAAACGATACAAAAGTGCAGTCAAGCTATCCTTCCGGAAAAATTCTAGTCAAAATACCGACAGTCGAACTTTGAAAGACCAAAATGCCAATAGACCAAAATACCGACTGTCAAAATCACGAAATTTTCCTTACACTAGTTTGGATTCCACCTCCTTTTCAAACCCCCTTCCCCCATTTCAATCTTGAATCTAGAAATTTTGATCTGTCGGGATTTTAACGGCCGTGATTGTGGTTGTCGGCGTTTTGGCTTTAACCGACTTGGAAAGCTTACAAGGAGTCGTTTTTGGGTGATATTGGAGTTTTTGAACGAGACCTAGCTAGTTCGATAGAGAAAAAAATTCTGAACAAGATGCCGTTTTTCAAATCTGCTAACCGTGTACGCTGTTCAATAAAAATTAATTTGAAAATCATTAATCTAACCATCATTTTCCTCCTGATCCGCAGATTCTGCGCTCTGGGTGCGCGTCAACATAGCCCCCTTTAGGCCTCCCTCCAGCCATGACCAGCTGGCCTATTGGTAGTGCGCTTGCTTCATAAGTTTTTGTCTTTTTTTTGCCAGCGGGTTCGACTCCTCGCTAGTAAAACTGTTTTGCTTTTTGCTCGATAATGCCAAATTCGATTTCAATGGCATGAAAAACCAAAAAGCAAAACAATAAATCACAATAAGTTCCGAACCCTGGGCATAATTTTGCAAAAGTTTGATATGCGCCGGCACTATCCACTAGGCCACGATCACATGCGGATGCTGGTTCGCGCTGTGGGCTATGTCCCGGGCCTGATCCATGGGTCGCAGCCTGACGTCCAGGAATTTTTTCATTAAAATTAATTTTTATTGAATACAATACACGGTTAGCAGATTTGGAAACCGACATCTTGTTCAGAATTTTTTTCTCTATCGAACTAGCTAGGTCTCGTTCAAAAACTCCAATATCACCCAAAAACGACTCCTTGTTAGCTTCAAGACTTTGAAAAACGCTTCAAAATTTACAGCCTAAATCTACGTCTTATAGGGCCTGGAAATACCAAAATCGACCTCTCCCTTCGACTAGGCATCGACAATTGGGCAAAATTCTAAATTACGCATACTCACTCACAGAGCTATAAAACTATTAAATTTTTAGATATGATGCGTAGTTGTCGAGACTTAGTCGATCCAGGGGTCGATTTTAGGGCTTCTATTCTGAACCTTTAAGGAACCACAAAATACAGTGACAACATTGAAGGCCTAAAAATAGGCGAAGATCTGGTGTGTTAGACGACCTTCAAAAACTTACAGCAGCAGAAAAGTGAGCCGGCGTCGGACATTTTTAAAAGTCACCGAAGCTCCTCCCCTTGGCGGGATAGAAGAGAACTCTGAATGATAAGGGTTTGGTTCGGCAAATCCTGAGAATGAGAATGGGCAGAGGACACAAATAATGAACGCCAAATGCCTTGAGATGGATAAAAAGCAAAAAAAAGATAAACGAGCGAGCCAGCGAACGCTGCGACTACCCGGGATGGGATGGAAAGATAATCCGTCCGGGGTCGGTTTGCTATCGGATCGGGAAGATGGGGGGAAATTCGAAACTTTTTTGGGGTTTGTTGTTTTCGCGATCTTGTGAGATGAACTTGGGATCAAAAATTGCACTGGGATATACAGGAAAAAACGAAAAAGCGACAATTTTGCATTTCGCGGCGCTTTGCGCATTAATGGTTGCATCTATACACAACATTGAAACCCCGAGTTACGGCGTTGAAAATCCATGAAAATCGTTGATTGTCGTAAACTGTATAAACCCATAACTAGGAAGGTAGCGTAGTCACCAAGGATGCTACTAATAGCATTTTCTCGACATTTAGCAGATTCTAGCCGGCCAGAGATTAGGCCGAGTGTCTCCTGGGTTGTTCTGTACCCTCAAGATATCGACACCTCTAACGACCCCTTGTTTTCTTCCGGAAATTGATCTATTGAATAGGTGAGGCTCCTCTGGAACCTTTGCATTATCTCTCACTCTCTTTATCTCTAGCTCAAGCGCTCTCTATCGCTCTCCTCTCTCTCACTCTCTCTCTCTCACTCTCTTTCTCTCTCTCAAACTCGCTCTCTCTCCCCCTCTCTTTCTCTCTCTCTCTCTCTCGCTCTCTCTGTCGATCTCTAGCTCTCGGCTCAATCAAGCGGCCATTCTTCCCAACGACCAAAGAACGTATTCTACTAACAAAAATGGCGTCAATAGACAATCCCAGGAAATTGGCAACGATTGGAAAAAATTGCCCTGCCTGTCGAGCAATAGACTGGCCTTGTTATGACCAAAAGGAGCACGAGAATTCTAAAATCTGAATTTTTTCGGGGCGGCTAAAAATTTAGGGCCTGCGCTCGAGCAACACCCCAACACCCGAATGGGCTAATTTAACGGAAGGCGGTAATTCGGAAACAAGCGAACGGAGTAAAGAAAAAGGAGAAGTGTGAAAATAGAGTCACTCAGGTTTGGGGAAATTGGGAGGAGCAGCTAGGGCTAGCAACTTGAATGGACTAATGCGGAAATGCTCCAAGATTCTGAATCTGGTAAAAAGAGGTTGCGATATTTTTAGGCCGTATTGGCTCGTTTCAAGAGAGATTAGGAGAGATAGAAATGGTGAGAGAGATAGAAAGAGAGAGAAAGGGAGAGAGTGAGAGAGAGAGAACTCATGCTTTAGATCCCCTTTAGATGCCTCGCCTTCACGCTCGCTTTAAATGCCAATACTCGAAACGTACACATGCGATCTACTCCCTTTAATACCGTATTCTCCGCCTAAAGATATTGACTAGCCCGAAATCCCAGCCTGATTTTCCAAGGCACACATGCAGAATTCCTCAACATGAATGAGAATTGAAAAGTGTGTGTAAGAGTTCGTTAACGGAAATTACAGTTTTTGAGAAGCTTTTCGAGCGTCAAGCGCTTTTTGAGACCAATGGGAACCATCAATTTTCTTTGGCTTTTGACTTTTTGGGTGGCTGATTGGCCGGAAATTTGGGGTTATAGAAAAGGCTTGACGACAATGGCGGCAATTAGGGGATGGTATTTCTGAAGAAAATATCTCTCGGGCAATAGGGTATAATTGTGGAAAAAAGGTGTTTTTCTTGCGATATTTAGCATTAGAACCTAACAGATCCTGAGCAAGCCTAAGCGCAAGCCTAAGCATAAGCCTAGACTTAAGCCCAACCCAAAGCCTGAGCTCCAAGCCTAACTAGGGAAGTGCAAATAAAAAACCCAGCAAACCGCTTAGCAAAAATATGGGTCTGATAGAGTCGGCGACGGGGATTCCGAAACTGCAATCAGAATTTGCTAAACGCTTAATACAAAATAGTTATGAGCATTTTAAGTTTTGCACTACCTACTCCGCCCTCCCTTATGAGCCCCTCCCAAAGATGTGCGTCCGCCTGTCGAGTGGTGTAGTGGCTAACTACCATGCCTCTGGAGCGGAGGGTCTCTGGTTCGAATCCCCGGTCATGCAAAACTTTTTGCTTTTTGGTCAAAGTCAACAACTTTAGACTTTTTCAAAGTTTCGAAGTCCGAAATTTAGATTTTTTAAAATTTTCTTTATTATTGACTGCGTCTAGGCCTGCCTTACGAAAAAATAGAAGTGAATTTTATTAGTGCCCTATCCGCAAGAGTACTGACACTCCCGCCACCACTTTTCAATCAGTTTCATAAATTTAAAAATTAAGAGAACGACCTTTTCGACTTCGAAACTTTGAAAAAGTCTAAAGTTGTTCCCTTTGACCAAAAAGCAAAAAGTTTTGCATGACCGGGGAGTCGAACCAGAGACCCTCCGCCCCAGAGGCATGGTAGTTAGCCACTACACCACTCGACAGGCGGACGCACATCTTTGGGAGGGGCTCATAAGGGAGGGCGGAGTAGGTAGTGCAAAACTTAAAATGCTCATAACTATTTTGTATTAAGCGTTTAGCAAATTCTGATTGCAGTTTCGGAATCCCCGTCGCCGACTCTATCAGACCCATATTTTTGCTAAGCGGTTTGCTGGGTTTTTTATTTGCACTTCCCTAGTAAGTCTAAGCCCAAGCCTAAGCCGAAACCTAAGCCTAAGTTGAAGCCCAGGCCGAAACCTAAGCCTAAACCTAGGCTTAAGCCTGAGCCTCAGCCAATCCTAACCCTGAGCCTAAACTTAGGCCTAAGTCTCGACCTAAGCCTGAGGCGTAGCCCTAGCGTGAAGAGAACCAAGAAAATTGAAGCTTAAGAATGACCCGGAAGTCAGCTACCTACTTCCCTTATTTGTTAAGCACAACAAGCTAGAATATTCCCAGCACAAGCCCGCAAAGTCCACTTTCAAAAGTGCTATCCGAAACTGCCCTTGTCTCGCAGGCCATGTGCGACAAATAAAGTGTGAGCTATATTCCGAAAGTCGTCAGCACTCAACGAATCTCATAAATAGCCCCCGCCCCTTTCCGGAAAATCCCATCTCCTTCCCGGTTGCCTCTCTCCACATTCTTCTAGGAACAATTAAGTAGACATTTCCGGGATAAGGGCGCACTTGGTCAAGCGAGTGACTATGAAAATAATCTCGAATTTGGTCGTTTGGAAATTGGGCGTTTTCGATAATCTGCAGATTGGAAGATGGCACTTCCCGGTTTCAGCACGGATTCCGAATTTCCGGTAGAGTTTCGGAAGGGAAATTTTGTAGGTTGGGAGACCAAAATAGAGGGAAAAGGTCTGAAGAAGTGCGGTTTTCTAGATATTCTGATCGAAACCATCACCCAGAAGTACAAGGCAAACAAGCAGAGATTTCTTGGGAAAACTAGACAGACTGATGCTGACGAAATAAAAATGACTAGTTGGTAATGTAAAAATGTGAAATTTAATATAAAATAATAAAGAGATACCAGAGAATTTTTAGAACGATCACATGAAAATGACGGAAATCAATGGCTTAAAACTCTTTCAAAGTCGGTCTATCAGTATTTCTCTCTTTCTCTCTCTCGCTCTCTCTCTCTCTCTCTCTCTCTCTCGCTCTTTCTCTCTCTCTTTCACTCTCTCTCTTTCTCAGCGCCGGGTAACCTAGTCAAAGCTCAAGAATTTTGCCCAAAATCGCCAAAATGTACTTGTCCAGAACTGCGAATTAACAATGCCTTTATGAGGCCTTTAAGAGACCCTGATTTTTGCTTAGACGACAATCGTCGATTGTTGACCGTTCCCTCGCGTCGATGCTATGCTGTTTTTCGCCATCCCCAACCCCGCCAAAAATCGGGCTCATCCTCAACGAAGTCATTCACGCTAACCAGCTACCCGGTCGGACCCGCCAAAACAATGATATATGAAGAAAATGGGAGTCTGCTGGGTCGGATAATGGGCCCGGAAGTGCTTATATTTACGCCTGGGGCCAGTGTGCAATCTATTGGATAAGACCGGGGTCATGGATAAAAATGATAAATAAATAGATAAAAAATGTAGTTAATCCTCAGATTTCGATTACGGTACACTATTGTAACTTCACTATTCAAAAACTTTGTCGAATATTCCCGGTAGAAAGTACGCTAGAGTACCCAGAAGTACGTCTCGGCTGCTCGGATACGCTATAGTACGCTGAAGTGCGGTAGAGTACGTTGAAATCCGGTAGAATACGGTAGTGTACGGTAGAGAAAACTCGACAATGGTGAGTTTAGAAATCAAATACAACGGCTTTAAAGTATTCAACGGCCGGCCACGCGCCTTGAAAATGTACAACTACAAAAATTACTATTTCAAAAATTCCTCTTGCCGTCCTACGGTACTTTTAAACGATTTTACGTGTTCCCTACAACTAAGATGTAAGGTACTATTTTAGACGTGAAAAATGAAGATAAACAAGTTTGCAAAACCATATTTTCTCCAAAATACCGCTCCAAATGAACGGTTCCTCCTCCCCTTAGCACCCCCTCCCATTCGCGTTGACAATCGTTCTGCTGGCCCGCAATGACCACAAAAACCGCGCCGACGATTTATCAGAGTTGACAGCTTGCGCGCGGGTGGGGTAGAGTTCTGGCTACCGGGGGGTCAGCGACGCAAAATCAAAAATCTATGTCAGCTTCCCTTTTCCGGCAGAGGGGGGATCTGACGGGTCTTGTGACCCGGAAAAGGGCTATTGTAGGTTTGGTAAACACTTTGGTAGCGCTAAAAAATTCCTCCCGGACTTTGAAGGGGGGTTTTGAATTGGCGTTCCGGTCTATTGAGGCGAGCGTCCTTAAAGGTATACTGAAGTTGAGGATAGTTTTAAAGGGATATTGATGGCGAGAGAGAGAGCCAGCGAGAAAGACAGAAAGAAAGAGAGAAAAAGAGAGAGAGAAAGCGGAGAAA